TTGCTGGGAAGTTGCTCGGGTGCTGGGAGCAGGCTTTTAAAGTGCTGCCCGAGCAGGACCGCCGAGCTGGGAAACGGGGCACCAAGGCAGGGCAAGGCTCCACCAGCAGCGGCCTAGCTTTAGATGGCTCCAAGCAGCCCGTCCCGCCCGCCGGGTGGAACCCTTCCCGCTCCTCGGCGGGAAGACACTCCAGCCTGCAAGCTTTGCCTTTGCAAAGTTTAAGCCTGGAAGCCCCGGAAAAAAAAGGGGGATCGGCGGGGACTCACCTTCGGAGAGGTCGCACTCGAAGGTGATTTCGAACTCCCAGCCGAGGCCTTTGCAAATTTCTTTTCTTTCCTACCCCTAGATCGCTCCGCACTGTTTTGCAGCTTTGGGGGCCACGCGGCACAGGGCAATACGCCACGCCCAGCGATTTTTTTTCAGGGGCGGTCCGGATTGGACAGACCAATGGCAGCGATTTTTTTTCAGGAGCGGGCCGCATTGGACAGACCAACGGGCCGGATGTGGCCCGCGGGCCGTAGTTTGCCCACCCCTGCTATAGGGGGTTCTTGACTTACAATCACAATTGAGCCTAAATCGTCCCAAAGGTGCTTTTTCAGGAAGCAACTGGATTTTCTTGTTTTTTCTTGGAAGACTAATAATAATTGAGCCTAAAATTTCTGTTGCTAAGCAAGACAGTTGTTAAGTTGGTTTTGGCCCATTTCATGACCTTTAGTGCCACAATTGTTAAGTGAATCAGTGCAGTTGTTAAGTTAGTAACACTTAAGTGAATTGTTAAGTCTGGTTTCCCCTTTGACTTTGCTTGTCAGAAAATTGCAAAATGGAATCACGTGACCCAGGGATGGTAAAACCATCATTAATACATGCCAGTTGCCAAGTGTCAGAATGTTGATCATCATGGAGATGCTTCAATGGTCGTGTGGAATGCGGTCATAAGTCACGTTTTTCAGTGCTGTTATATCTTCAAACATTCACTAAATGAATGGTTGTAAGTTGAGGATTATCTGTACTTGCAGATAAAGGCTAATCTAGTATTCCCCATTAGATATTCTCCAGATATGTTGAGATCGTAATTCCTACTATTCCAAACCAGACTTGTTAAAGATAGTCCTCAATTTATGTTAAGAGCCTTGGTGGTGCAGTGGTTAGAATGCAGTACTGCAGGCTATTTCTGCTGACTGCCGGCTGCTTGCAATTTGGCAGTTCGAATCTCACCAGGCTCAAGGTTGACTCAGCCTTCCATCCTTCCGAGGTGGGTAAAATGAGGACCCAAATTGTTGGGGGCAACACGTGACTATGTAAAACCGCTTAGAGAGGCCTGAAAAGCACTGTGAAGCGGTATATAAGTTTAAGTGCTAATGCTATTGCTTTTTTACTAATTGAAACATTTGTTCAGTGAGTTTTGCCCCATTTTATAACCTTTTTTGCCACAGTTGTTAAGTGAAATTGCAGTTGTTAACTTGTTAATGGAATCTTGGTTTCCCATTGACTTTTCTTGTCACGAGGTCACAAAAGCTGATCATGTGACCTTGGGACCCTGCAACCATCATAAATATGAGTCAATTGCCAAGCATCTGAATTTTGATCATGCAACCACAGGGATGCTACAATGGTTGTAAGTGTGAAAAATGGTAATAAGTCTTTTTTTTTTCAATGCCATTGTAACTTTGAACAGCCACTAAATGAACTGTTTTAAGACGAGGAACGCCTGTATTCAAGACTAACCATCTGGGAAGAAAGAGATGTGGTGGAGAATGAGGAACCTCTGCTGCTCTTCGGAGGCATGGCCTCCTCCTCCTCCTCCTCCTAGAGGCCATCAGGACCAGTTATCCTGTGAAGAAAGGCAACAGGAGAACGAAGAGGAGAGCTTCACCTCAGTCTCACTGGTAGCTGATTTCAAGCCTAGCTGGCCATTGTAGAAACCCTGAGTCAATAATGCCTTGTTGGGTGGTTTGACTTAGTCCTAAAGCAGAGGTCCCCAAACTTGGCAACTTTAAGACTTGTGGACTTCAACTCCCAGAACTCTCCAGCCAGCTAAAGGATCACTATTGCTAAGTCTGCCTTCTGTATGTGTAATAGTTGTTCCTCAGTTTTGATAGGCCCACAACTGAAGCTTCTCTATTATCTTTCTTCCATTACCTGAAATTATTTCCTTATAAGGTGCTGTATTCTTCAGATGAAAGCATGTTTGGAAGGCACCCAGAGTTGGTTGAAGGATGTATATAAATATTTTTTAGATATAAATATTTTAAATGAAGTTAATCTCAACATGCTTCTTCCTTCCTGAGAAGCAATTACTCACAGTCCTGCTGTGATTCCAATGCTAGGAATTCTTTTTTTAACTCCATTCCTCCACAGGGAATGCCCTTACTATGGTATTTCCTTTCTCCCCTCCAATTCTCTCAAGAATTTCTGTTCTCTCTTTTCTACCCTGGCCTGTTTCCCATAAAGATTTTTTTTTTTTTACCAATTGTGTTTTCTTGGGAAGGAAACATGAATAGCTGAGTCACCTCCTCTCTCCACTTGCTGTGACTGTTTAGGAGGACTAATTCTTGCCACTTCCCTGGAGTTATATAACTCGGGTGGGCTTCAAACATTTTAGTCAAGGGTTCCCTGCCCAGTTGCTGGGTAGGTGTGGCAATGGTGGGTGTGGCCTAGTTAGCCTCCTGCACCATGGGGGAGTGTTTTTGCCCTCCCCGGGCTCCGGAGGCTTTCCTCAAGCCTCCAGGAGGGAGAAAACAGCCTCCTGGGCTCTGGCGGCTTTCTGGAAGCTGGAAACGGGCCCATTTCCAGCCTTCCTGAACTACCGGGTGGCCTGTTTTTCACCCTCACCCTCCTCTGCGCGCACCCTACACTTACCTGCATCCAAAACGCGCAGCGTGGGGACTCCTGGGAGGAGAGGATGGGGTAGGTGGGGCCAGCCAGGAGTGGTATTTGGGAGTTCTCAAAACTGCACAGAATCTTAACTAGGGGGCTCTCCTGAATCCCTTGAACCCTCAGCAGCCCACCCCTGGTTACGTTACAATAAGAGTGCTGCAGGATAGGTTGCACTGCTGTGCTTGCTCACCCAATGTCAAAGAGTGGGGTCTGACTGGCTGATTTTAACAGACTGTTAAAGGAAAGTGCATGATTGAATGGTCATGTGGATTTTTGCAAAATGGGACTTTTCTGAGCTGCCTTTGAGCTTTCCTTGGTTGCTCCCTTCCAGAGCTGAACATAAAATACATGTATTTTCTTGCCCCTTCATCCTGACTCGGTCAGTATCTTTAAAGCATCTTTAAAGAGTAAGGCAGTCTGAATGTATCTTCTTCGTCTCATTTTGCTGAGGGAGATTTTAACTGAACTCAACTTTATTCAACCATGTTCCCTCATCACCAACCAACCTAATCTGACTGCTTGTAAAAAAAAAAAAAAACCAGCATATCTAGGCTTTAAATTTCATTAGCGTGCTGAGAAGTATTTGTTGGCTCTTATATACAAACAAAATATTTTTGTTCTGGAGAAATCTGGACAAAATGCTACGCACGTGGGCCTTTCCATTCTGCAGAGTTAATGTGCTATTCAACCCTTTACCCATTCTTGGGTGGGCAGAAAATTATGCAGGTAGTCCTCATTTATCAACCACAATTGGGACTGGCAATTCAGTCACTAAACAAAACAGGTGCTAAGTAATTGTGGTTGGATTTACAGGTTGGATTGATTTCAGCATTCCCTTTGCTTTACAAACCTGCAAAGTTGTAAATGAGAGGACTGGCCACAAAGTTACTTTTTCATCATTGTAATTGTGAATAGTTAGAAAATGAGGACCACCGGTACCACTTTAAAGTTGGCTACCCCATTGCCATCTTCTGTTCTGTGCCTCTTGCCAGTCTCTCAAGTAGATCAAACAGGTAACATGATGAGCCCAACCTACCCTATTGAAAGGTACAGTAACAGAAACTTGCAAGTCTGAAAGTACAAATGTCCCACTGTCTCTTTTTATTACCTGATTAATTACAGCAGATCCTTTCTAAGCTTCGTTGCCAGCCTGTTATTCACGTGTGGCCGCCTTACCCTTTTATCTCATCATTCCCTATGCAGGATCTCTTTCTCCCATGCTTTCCGTTATATCTCTGTTTTGATGCCTTGCCACATCTGCCCTGATTTTGTGTGAACAGAAGCGGGGTGATCAAAGTGGTTGGTTAATTCTTCAAGCTACGCTGTCTTCCCTCTTTGCAGGCTACCAGGCAGTGAGAAAGACACCTGCCAATCAAGGCCCTGCAACAGGATGGGTTCATCACCTTTAGATTTCTTCCACGTCCTTCTCCAAAACACCCCATTCTAACTCAAGTCAAAGAAAGTTAAAAAGAAACAAAGAACAATTGGAAACAAAAGCAAACATCACTATTAGGAATTACCTACTATTTTCCCTTTTTCAAAAAACAGATGCAACAAATGCCAGATTCCTCTGTGTTTTGTGTGTGAGGCAATAGAAGGGATTTGTCCTTCCATCTATTCTACTATAACCCCATTTCTCAATTTTAGGATTTGGCACATTTCTTACAGGGGTTATCCAGTGATTTGTGTGTCTGTGTGTGTGTGTGTGTGTGTAAACATTTGATTGAACAGCTTCATGTGGCCAACAGGCACCAGGTGGATCATGGGTGCACTTGACTGGGCTTCTGTCACTAACCCCCCCCCCCCCCCCCCCCCAAAAAAAAAAAAAAAACACCACAGAAGGCTGTCGCCTTGAAAAAGGAAAATCACTTTAACTCTGATTTGCCTCTGGATGACCCATGAGCCTGTCTTACTCATAAACTGAAGATATGATGAAAAACATGGGAAAGAAAAAAAAAACTCCCAATATCATCATCAGGAATAATAATCATCTACTGTGATCTGATGCAGGTCAGGAAACTCCCAATGATGAGCAAAAAGCATATAATGCTTATTGCTGAAAGTGAAAGCAAATGCTGCTTCATAGAAGAAGAACCTCCCTCACACACACACGCACACACACACACACACACACACACACACGCACTGCTGTTGCTGTTGCTGCTGCTTTCTTTTTTTGTTTAAAAACAACCAGCTGGCTGCAAAGGAAGCAGAATCATTGGTGACATTTAGACACTTAGCTCAAGCCAGCGCAGAGGGAAGTCTGCTTGAGAGAAATCAAGGGAACCCATCTGACACAGCTCCGGAGGTGAGTAGAATACTGATAGACACAGTGGTGTCTCTGCAGAGCTCTAGAACAAATTTCTCTAATGTGTTAAGTCCTTTGCACTCCAATGAAGAGAGTTCAGAAAGGGGTCGAGTGCGTGACGGAAAGAATTCTTACTAGATACCTGATGGCATCATTTGCTCAGTGATGTCTATGTGCTACGTCTTTGTGGCTTCCATCTACCAGGAGGAGTTTCTAGGGCTCAACTGCATGTGGCTCCCAGTCAAAGCTCCCTTGAACCACCCAACTCCTGTTGTTGTGTTTGCAGGCCATTTTCTCAGTAAAAAAATTTTTTCCATGTGCAAATCCAGGTTTTCTGTGGGGTTTAATCCATCCTGCTTAGGGAAAACCCAAGGAGAAAGGGAAGCATGCCTAATATTTATCCCATGTTTCTTTTGGACCAGGCTAAGACCTGACTTCTTTCAGGTGGTGTTTTAGTGTTGTTGTTTTTCATTTTATTTTAAGTTTGCTATTACTTTGAGTCAGAGAAATGGATGAAAGAGGGGGAGGGGGGGAGGGAGAGAGAGAGAGAGAGAGATGATAGATAATACAATGAATAGTGTTTATGTATATTTCCACTTCCATAATTCTTATTTTATATAATTATTTTCAATTGCCTATGTTACATCCAGAGAACTCCAGGTATTGGGGTGGATTGTAAAAGGTATCAGGTAGATCAAAATATTGCTGGAATGGGAATATTAAGTACATGAAAGCCTTCCCAAGCTGTAACTCCCCAGGTTGGAAGTTGAATTTGGCAGAATTCCCAGCCTCTAAATTTTGGTTAATGTTTTAAAAATCCTCAGAAGAATGTGACAAATAAGGGCAAAAGAGCAGAGATTCTGAAATCATCCAGGGAATGGCATTTCATTTCCCTTTGGCCTTGCTGTTTGGCATAATTTAAAGAGAAAAATGTATTTAAATCTCTGTGCATATGCAGAGGAGGGTCATATTTCAGTTAACTGGTTAGGACCATCTTCAAAAGCAAGTTTCTAGTTCAGGTGTAAAAGATAAGTGCAAAATAGTTCTCGGTATCCACAGGGGTTTGGGGGTAGATAAAACAGTCATGGGGGTTTGCAGGAGTGGGCAGGGGAAGGACATGACCCCGGTTGCTATAGTCACCGCTGGAATCCATGTACCAACCTATGTGCCAACAAGTCGGTAGAAGCTGAAAGAGCAATGGATAAACACATGACTTCATCTCCATGTGCTTTGAAAACTATTGCAGATTTGGGATCCCAGACAGCCCTAACATTGATCAAAACCAGAATGCAGGGATTCTCTGGAAAGGAAGACATTCCATGGAAAACATCTGATTTTGCTTTAGGAATACTCTGACAGATAAATAGAGTGGCTATTGTGTCAAACCCAGTTCCCTAATGACATTGAAACCGAGGAAAGTAGGTGAAATTACAGCCAAAGGATGCTGGCCAGCTGCCTTATCACCTCCCTCGGCGTCCCTTGTCTTTTTCCAAGCCACTTCTGGGAAGCTCTGTGTAGATGCTATTGTTAGGTTCCTGCCTGTTTTCATTCTGCATTTCACCTCCATTGGCTTTGAATGTTCTTTTGTTCTCATGATAAAGGAAAAGGTCAAGTAGAATTCCCATTGATGTCTCAATCCTCTTCCATCATGCTCTTCCTTCTAATCATGACCGTGAGTCATTAGAAAGACAGATAGATAGGATTAGATTAGATTAGATATAAATATAAAGCACATAGACATGATTTTTAATGCAAGGCTAGCTTGACCATGTGGTCTGAATATCATGTGGTCTGAATCATCACGCAAACACTGGGTGTTCTCAGTTCTGCTTTCTGTCATCCCGGAGGGAAGGAAATAGGACAAGGGATTTGAAGTACAGGCAGGCAAGCTCTGTAGGAAGTGAGGCTGAAAAAAAATCACAACAATAAGGTGGTGGAACTAATCCAAAGATTTGGTGGACTTGCCTTCACGGGCTGCGATCCTGCAATTGTGCAGGAGCTGACAGCTACCGACCTACAATAGTTTAATTCGGAGCAGTTAAGTTCAGTAACTTGATAACTAGCTGATTAATGTTGTGATTCTGCCTCGCCCGGCCAATTTATAGAGCAATCCTGTCTCACAGGGAGCAAGGGGGTCAGAGGCAGAAGAAACCATGAACCTGTAGGATACAAAAGGGAGGGAAGGAGGGAGGCAGGCCATGCCAATTTCCACCCCGCCCCCACAGGTTTTAAAAATGTGTTTGTTTTGCAAATTCTCTCCCACTGAAGCTACTGGTAGGGATTTGATTGGAATGAGCTACAGACGCGAAGATGAGCAGCGTGGTTGGGAGAAGTAAAAAGAAAAAAATTAAAAATAGATTTTGTACATCCAAAAGTTTTCCAGCACAACAGCCGTGGCAATTTGGTTTAATAATTAAGGCACTGGCCCAGAAAGCAGCTGGGTGACTTTGGGTCAGTCCCTCTCTCTCAACCCAGCTCACCTCACAGGGTGGTTGTGGGAAAACAGGAGGAGGAAGGAAAATTAGGCATATTTGCTGTCTTGAATTTTATATATATAATAAAGGCAGGATGAACATCATACAAACAAACAAGTAATGATGATAAATAGAGAGAGATGATAGATAGATAGATAGATAGATAGATAGATAGATAGATAGATAGATAGATAGATAGATGATATGCTCAGAAAAGCCCATGGTTTTTTTCTTCTTAATGCCTGGGCTAACTAGCAGAGATTGGAGTTTCTCTTATAGAATTGGATTTCACAATTCTTGAAGGGTGAGATCTGTCCTGTGACCTTTGGGGTGCCTTTGCATAGGACATAGGATTTAATTTAAAAATACACTTCTATTCTTGGGGGAAAATATGCCCTTTTGTCCTTATTAATTTTCCTTCTTATTTTACCAGTTGGTTATGTATATACTTATTGATACCTGTTTCCAAGAACCATGCACAAATAGAACTATTGTATTTGGATAGGTCTTTGGTCTGATCCAGTCAGCCTCTTTCTGTTTTGGGCGTAAAGGTAGCCTCAGCTTACGACCATTCATCTAACAGCAATTCAAAGTTAGAGTGATGCTGGAAAAAGTGACTTGTGACAGGTCCTTACATCAATAACATGATTGCAATTTGGGGGCTTGGCAACTGGCATGTATTTACAATGGTTTTGGTGTCCCAGGATCATATGATCACTATCTGCAACCTTCTCAAAGGACTTATAACAATTTTCTGACAAAAATCAACCGGGAAGCTATTTTGTGATTTGCTTAACAACCACAGCAACAGTGGTCATAAAATTGGGCACGAGTGACTTACCCACATTGCTTAATGGCAGAAGTCCCAGTCCCAGTTATGGTTGTAAGTTGAGGACTAGCCAAAGTAGGTTGGATGTCCAAACTAATGTGAAACACCCTCCCTGCACTAGAGAGTACAAGTTGTTGTCTTTTAAATTAGATTTCTAGAAATCTTTATCCATGCATCTTCAAGACATCTTCCAAAAGAAATACATAGAAGCATACCGTCAAATAAAAACATGAAGTAAAACTACAAAGCATCATCTAGTACTAAAATAATGCACAAAAACAGCATACAAGAAATAAGTTAACAGGTTAAATGCAACTATTAATCCATCTGAACAGGAAATGCAAAGTTCTGTGGAAGAATTTTAAACTTGAAGACCAGCCTAGCAAAGTTTCTGCTGAATTATAAAATTAGCTCTCTCAGTTCTCAACATTGCCTGCAGACCGAGACACGGGACAAGTAGTCATTACTGACATTAAGCAGTAAGGATACAAATGCTAGCTCATTTCTTCTGGTGAAACCGGACTTGGAGGCAACCAAAATGTCTTGGGGTCTGCTTGTCTACCCGGTAGTTTTCAAGGTCAGGAGACACATGGCAAATGAAGCTGAGTAGGGTCTCAATTGACAGGCATGGTTTTTTTTAAGAACACAGTAGGCTAAAGAGCCATTTCTCTGTGGCAAAGGAAAAATATATCTTCCTACTTCCATATCAATTGTGTTTTTTTTAAAGTCCTCAGTGAATTGGCCTTTATCGACAGAAACATCGCAAAGCACCTTAGCTTGAGTCAGCCTGTTTGAAGCATTACAATATTAATGATGTTACTCTTTTTTAAAGATATTTCTGGAAAAATGGCCAAGTTCCTACCAGTTCTGCTGTTTGCATCCCAGCTTTCCTTGACAGCAGGTGAGAGTTTTCTATAGGATATACTGTCCAATAATATTCTCAGAATTGTCCATCAAATTTAGAACTTCAGATGTGGGCCAGAACTTTATGAGATGTTTGCTACCCCCTTAAAAATTCAGTTCAGGAGAACTGTTGCACTAAGGGGCTTTAAGTCCAAGTGAATCAATGTTGTAGTGCAGAGGTCTCCAAACTTGGCAACTTTAAGACTTGTGGATTTCAACTCACAGAATCTGTGAGTTGAATTCTGTGAGTTGAAGTCCACAAGTCTTAAAGTTGCCAAGTTTGGGGACCTCTGTTGTAGTGCTTTGGGGTGGCCATGGTCCTTTGGGTACAGGCGCTTTTATAGTTTAGTGGGAGATATTCAAAAGGACAAGTGTTGTGACTTGTGTCTCTTTTCCATTCAACCAGCATAAAAGGTGTTCCAAACATACCTGGAGTACCAGTAGAAGAGAATATTTATAGCTCAGGTTTGAACCATGTGGCATCCTTGATGCTCTCTGGGCTGGATTATTTTCTTGCAGAGGTTTCATTCATCCTACTAGGTCAGCAGCCTCCAACCTTTGGGGAACAGGGACCGGTTCCATAGAGAGAGGTTTTTCTGCAAACTAGAAGGAGCGTGGTTTTGTGTGCTGCCTGCATCCTGCAGATGGGGCTTTGCTTCTTTGCGCAGGCCAGTTTCTGGCATGTTGCAGACCCAGTGCGGGTCCATGGACTGGGGGGTTGGGGACCCCTGAACTAGGTAACATCATCCGTGCTAGAAGGAAGTGGGATTTGCTGTCTGTTTGTATATAAGTGGCTTGTCTCATCAGTGTTGGTGGGAGCAGTCTTGGTAATCCCTTGACTATTGCTTTTGTTTACTGTTGGTGTGATAGTTTGAGTTGGTAGTTTCTTGATTGAGGTATTGTTGAATGAAACATATGCAAGAAAAGCTCAAAGAGGACCAAGGATCCCACATATCTGGAGTAATCTCCAAAGGATTGGTTCCGGTTATGGATTCAAGGTTTCAAACTCAGGGTAAGCAGCCAGGAACCAGAAACATTCTGGGAAAGAAGCCAGATCTAAGCAGATTTGGGGGAATCTGCGGGAAGCACCACCAACCTGATGCTTTGGTCAGCAGTGTGTCTGAAGGTGTCTATCTTGCCCCGGGCAATATTTATCTTCCCAAAATACCTGGGATAAGTAGCTGAACACTACAAAAGCTTCCATACAAAGTTTCTTTATTGGATTATATCAGGCATCCTCAAGGTATAACTCACAGTTATGCTGAGATTCATCTAATGTCCAATGTTTGCATTGTCATCTTCATAGTGTGAAAAGATAGTTATCTTCATCCCATAATGATACAGCAAGGGAAGCCTCCAGCACGATGCTGGGGTCCAGGTAAGAATGACCAAAACTACCCCCAACCCAACCAGAGGTCAATTCAGTAACCAATCAGGATTACAGATGTGACCACATGACATGAACTACATCTCCCATGAGGCATTGACTACATTTCCCATGAGGCATTCCCTTAAGGGGACAGCTCCCATTCCCAAACTAACTATGCTGTCTAACCTTAGACACTATATTCTGTCTAACCAGCATAGTGTCTCTTTCCTGTGTCTGACCTGGACTTTTTGTAACTCACCACGCAGCCATGATAGCAGGTTTCTGAGCTGGGAAGACCATCCTTGTGACATTCCTGAGACCTTCACTATGCAGTCTGAATGCCAAAGGCTGCCCCACACCCCAATTCATGCTACTGAAGATTTCCATTTCTAAAATTATGGAATTTTTTAGAATCTTCTTCTTGCTGTTCCCAGACCCTTCAAATTAGCATAACATGTGTTTTAGTCATCATAACCAGAAGAAGAAAAACGTTACCAATTGCACTATCAGTTTCCTGTAATATTTGCAGTTATATTTTTTTTGAAATTGCCCTGGAATATCTCACAGCCATTTATGGGTCGGGTGAAATGTGTTGTAAAAATAAAACAATGGCTAGAAATCAGGGACTCTTCACCATGGAATTGTTTCCAAGAGCTCATCCCAGGTAGCTGTCTGCACTGTCTTTGGCTGCTCCATTTAGAAGCAGCCACCATGCTCAGCGCTGCTTTGCTTCTCATTCTCTTTTTACTCATTTTCAAATTTAAATGCTTAAATGGGACTACTTCCCATTCCTGCATCAGTTCAAGTCAAAAAGGAAAAAAAAGCATTCAATTAGAAATATTTTCCCATTTTCATATATTTTTTTCCCTAATAGTTCTATGCTTAGTAGACATTTTCCCTAACATTATCTATATGCACCTTTCTTTGAGTTATGACTCTTTTTCATCCTATCAGTGAAAGTACAGCTAGCAGGGGGGAAAAAAACCTGGTTTGCATACCAGAAATGCAAATAATATTACTGAATAAGTATACACTAAAATGAGGACCAAAGGAAATGACTGCTTCCGAGATCATAGTTACTCATCTAGACAGCCTGTAATGATTAAGAGGACCCGGTCAATCCCTTTCAACTTCTGACTCAGCTTCTACATTATGGGAGCAACAAGGACTGTGAGCACATAAATGTGCAATCGTTTAGAAAAAAAACACATCATGCTGATACAGGTAGCTCTCAACTTACAACAGTTCAGTTTAGTGACCATTCAAAGTTACAACAGCACTGGAAAAAAGGTTTTTCCCACTTACGACTTTTGCAGCATCCACTTAATCACGTGATCCAAATTCAGACGCTTGGCAACTGGCTCATATTTATGACCGTTGCAGTGTCCTGGGGTCACGTGATCCCCTTTTGTGACCTTCTGAAAAGCAAAGTCAACGGGGAAGCCAGATTCACTTAACAACCAGTTTACTGACTTATCAACTTCAGTGATTCACTTTGTGGCAAGAAAAGTCGTAAAATGGGGCAAAACTCACTTAACAACAGAAATTTTGGGCTCCATTGTGGTCATAAGTCAAGGATTACCTGTATAAACCAAAGGCATTTAATTGATTAGAGATCAATTACATAAAGTATATATTTCGATTATATAAAGAATGTAAAAAGAGAGCAAATCAATTCTCTTCTAGCACTGATGATTGTTACTGATTATTTACTTCATTTATATTCTGGAAATGCACATATTTAGATATTCAGCATCTGCAGGCTCTTAGTTAATTGAGTTACAGCACACATATTATTCCTACATAAAAATGTAAATTGCCCGGTGGATACTCAAGTATGTTTGCTTATTTTATTATTATTTTTTCCAGCTTTATTCAGGGTGAGTGTTATTCAGCCTCATTACTCTGCAGAATATGGAAGCAATGTGACTATAGGATGTCACTTTCCAACGGATAACTTCTTGAATCTGACACAGTTGAACATCTTCTGGCAGCAAAAACTGTCAGATGAAGCCAAGGAAGTTTACAAGCTCCAAAATGGACGCGAAGATCTGTCAGGGCAACACCGACATTTCCAAGGAAGAGCTACATTATTATATGAGGAATTGAAAAAGGGCTATTCTATGCTACATATCACCCATCTAAGGATCACAGATGCTGGATGTTACCTTTGTGTTGTCAACTATCATGAAGCTGATCACAAGTACATTGACTTGAAAATTGAAGGTTAGTAGCCATAGAATGTCACCGGCAGAAATCGGAACGATGTGCCATTATTTAACAATGAAATTTTCCAGATTTGCTTTTATATGTTCAGCACTGAAGAATATCTCTAGGGGAAAAGATGTATTAGTCTATGGTGGCCAAAAATCTGAAGGAGTATGCCTTGATAAAAATTGTTAGCTTGGAAACTGCTACCCTGACTCCATCTGATTTTTAAAGACTTGGTGTATTAATCCATTATGCTGATAGAATTGTGTAAAAGTACATTATGGGCAATCTTTGCTCCTTCTCTGCTGACTTTCATACTACGGAGGCAAGATCTCAAGGGAGGGGCTATTTTACTTACAATAGCTGTCATTTATTTTAGAAGATCAGGTAGAGGGCCTACACAATCAGCCTTGGAAAGAAGCTACTCAAGGAAAGCAATCTGGTTATGCTCCAACAAAGTGACCCAGATAGAGGTGGTTTGGCCAGTGTCATCTCCAGTCTTCTCACATTCTTGCAATCACAGAGGGATAAGTGCCATTATTGCCATCATTTGTTTCATAACAAATAAACAGATCAACCTCCTTCATATCTTCTCGATTATCCCTATGAATACCCACGGAAAAAGTGAGATTCTACTTTCTGCCTCTTATTTTTATGGCTTCACAGAAATTTCCCTGGAAGGGAAGTTCTGAAATTAGCTCTCCCCACCCCCAATTTTGAATATTCTGAATTACATTTTATACTGTAGCATTTTTTCCCCTTTATTTCAGAAAGGTGAAACATTAATGAATAGTTTACCTTTAACATGCAGATTTTTAAAAACGCAGCTGGGAGTTTGTATGTGAATTCATAACTATCAAAATATAGCAGGCAGCAAGAGAGATTTAAAACCTTTTTTCTTTTCTGTGGCCATGATAAAAATGGCTCCTTCTAAATCTTTGTTATTGGGAGGAAAACTACTACTAATACCATTGTAGTTTTTTCCCCAAACTTTTTTTTAAAGACTTGTACAGTGAATGAAAAAGCGTGTTTAACAAAAGCAACACAAAATATATTTCATTGTATAATGTCCTTGTCAATCACCTCTAAGGAAAATAAAAACTTCTTAAAAGCTTTATTTCTTTTTATGTAGCACCTTACAAGAAGATAAACATCCAGGAAAGAAAAGAAGATGAGGACTACATCTTAACTTGCCAGGCAGAAGGGTACCCCCTGGCCGACGTTCTTTGGATTTATGAAAACATAATCAATGACACGATACTTGCAAACACTACGCATAAGCTGACAGACACAGGACTTTTCAACATAACGAGTGTCTTGAGAATCAGACCAAGTGCTCCTGGAAATTACAGCTGCATATTCCAAACTAAGGAATTGAGGCAAACCTCAGCCCACAGAACAGTATTTCTAATAGGTAAAAAAGAATAATGCATTGATTATGTGGGAGTTTAATCCTTGCAGAAGTGGAAAAACTAGGATTCCAACCATAAAATTGGCAAAGAATAAAATGTGTTGTGTGAATAGATAGGGAGAACTGGCCTGCAATATTGAAGGTGCCCTAAGTCAAAGGTTCCCAACCTTTGTGGTTTGGTGGCCCAGCTGGGGGGGGGGGCGGGCAGAGAGGGGAATTGGGCTGTGTGAGTGGTGGGACGGCATGAGCTTGCATGTGCACATATGGCCCTTATGCAGATCAACTTATGCAAGCGACAGGCCAATATATGTGCAAATGCCCACCAGTCCATCACTTACACAAATTGAGCTGCACGCATATAGCATGTGCTCTAACCAACCACTTGCATGGCTCCATTTCTAAATAGGCCATGGCTTGGTAGTGGGGTGCGGCCCAGGGGTTAGGGACCCCTGCCTTAAGAAACATGTAGATAATCACTAAGGAACCTGAATGTAGGATAGCTGAAAGAATAGGTCTAAGATGCAGTGGGTTAAAATCTAGGAAGAATAATTGAATGTGACCAAGTCTGGAAAGAAACCACAGGCAGAGAAGATGGGTGGTATTTTTTTTCTTCTGAAACAAGTATAGTGACAAATTATTCTAATCCAATCTACCTATTACTTTGTCACCTTGTCTCAGAGCCATAGGATTTGAGACATAATTGCAGCCTTAGGACTTTAGTGTAGAATTGATACATTTCAGATTCCAAACAACTTCAATTTTAAAAAAAACATGCATAATTTCAGTATTTGGGGGAACATATAGAATGTCTCACAATCTGCTGAAATCAAATAGAGAACCAGTTAGTTTTTTGTGATTATACAGCAGTATCTTCCTATGAGCCTTAAATCAATTTCTCTCCTTACTCTTGTCTTTTCTTATCTTTCATCTTAACGATCATTACTAAACGATTATTAAAATCTTCCTTCATCTTAACAATCATTACTAAACTGTTACTAAAATCTTCTCTCAAGCCTGCAGGTAATTCAGAATTGCCACCCAAATAAATGTATGTGAAAAATACTTTCTGCATATTTGCATGTCATTTTCAAGATGAATGTTTATGCAGGACTAAGAATGCCATGATGTATTCCAGTTAAGGACAGGTTATAAGCAATGTAGAGCATGCCAGTTTGATAGCAACAGGTAAGGTAAGGCACCAGGTTAAAAACTGGGAGGCTGTGAACTCTAGTCCTGCCTGAGGCACAAAAGAAGCTGGGTGACTCTTTTCCCCTGAGCTCTAGGAAGCAGGAAATGGAAAATGACTTCTGAAATCTTGCCAAGGAAATCACAAACAGTTGTCAGGAGTCAACACTAACTTGAGGGCACAAGAGAAACAGCATCTGAAATAGAATCCCTGCTCAACACTATCTGAATATACAACCAAAATACTGCAGTGGAATTTGGACTGGACAAATGCCACCCTTACCATCAACAGGAGGGAAATAGTACAAACTGAAAAAAAATCAAGAAATAGAATCAAGAGTCTGGATGAATACTATTATTACAAATACCTGTACATCTTTTAAGAGAACAACATCAAGCCCACTGAAGTCAAGAAGGTTAGAAATAAATGGTACATTATGAAAATGAAGATCTCAAAGTCCAAACTCAGTGCAGCAAATATCAAGGCAATTACTAACTGGACAATTGCAATCATTAGATGCACAACTAGAAAAGTGGACTGGACTTCCCTCAAACTAAAAGAACTAAAAGCTTCCATAATTCTATAACCTAAATATATAGGACCAAACTCTTTCCAGTTAGGGGGATAAAATAATTTTACAGGTGAACAGGAGAAAAAGGTACACATGATGACACATGTGTTCACCTCTCTTGAAAAGAAAAAGTATTCAACCTTGTTAGGCACAGCATGTAGTATTTTAGCATTTGTGAAAATTAGAGACCTAAAGGATTGTGCTATATGTCAAATTGGTGGCCTGCAGACCAGATGCAACACTAGCAGGCCACTCCCACCCCAGCTCCGCGAAGGCAAAAATGGCGTGATACATCACCTGACATCAACATGATGCGGCGAGTTTGACACCTGTGTGCTATATCAAAGAAACCTTTGAAACATGGCCGGTCAATGTCTTTCACTTCAAGAACTATACAAGTTATCGATGCCTCAGAAGTTACAATGTGTTTGCTTCTGATTCTCCACTTTCCTCTCTATACTTTTAATTCCTCTGGTTTAAAATGTCTCTTTCTCCATTTCCCCTGGTTTTCAGCATGTTGGAAATCATTTATTTTGTATTCCATGGAACTTCCATAGTTGTCAAGCATGCAACTTTGGTTGAAGCCATTTATTGCCTTAACTCTGCTTATTTGAGTTATGGGCATTATTACAAAAGTGAAATACTTTTTTAATATTGTCAACCCAATGAAGTCAAAGTAGTAGGATATTTTGCTGGCTTGGAGGTACTTCTTCCAGGACAGCAATACAATAATTATCTAAGGGGCAATATCTGATGGAACTTGACTTGCATTGACCTGTGAAATTACTCTCGTCCATAATTTTCAAACTGAATCTTAAATGCCAGTAATTCCATGTTCTAGATCAATGTTTTTCAAACTTGCTAACTTTAAAATGTATGAACTTCACCTCCCAGAATTCCACAGTGGCCAAACTCCCTGTTCCATCCATTTTTAATTATTTTAGTTTTAACCAAAAATATCAAGTAGAAAGCTAGCAAAGGAAATACCAGCCTCTAACTTCACGTTTGTTTTCCAGAGATGTCTCCGAGACTTAAAATAGACCACATTAGATATTCTTAAAACTTGAAAATGGTGGATGACTAGTGTGTAATGGGAAATGTGTCTACTAACATCCTCCCAAATTAAAAAAAAAATAGACAGGTAGTGGAGAGTGTTATGGGTAGCTGGGATTTTGTGTTAAGTGGGTGTTTTGAAATTAAGCTCTGTTCAATAGCCATGTTGTGAACAGGCAAGCCCTTATCATAACAATCATGTCGTAAAGGGTCACATTTCTGTGGTATATAAACCCCATCCTGCCATGGTAAGGATTATGAAAACAGATGCATATACCCATTTTTTTTAGACCTAACAATAGAGAATCAGGTTTTGTACAAAATCCCAACATATTGTATGTTCTTGTTTACAGGTCAAAGAAATGCATCAGGCACTGGGAAAAATTCCAAGATCTTGTTTATCCCAACATTTGTGTATAGTGCTATAATTTTATTTACTATCACTAAAGTCTAAAAAATAATAATAAATGTGCATACCTAGAAAGGTAAGTGTCTATTTGTTTTCCAATTAAATTGGAAATTTAACTCCTTTTGGTATCTTAAGTATTTATTGCTTGGCAGTTCTATAACACTAATGTACTTATGGGGAAGCTTTAATCCATATTAACAGCACATTGCTGTGTGATCATGTGTGAGTTTAGCAGCTAAGCAAAAAAATCCTGGTTACTATTTGGATGGGAAACCAGCATTGTGGCTGGATTGTATAGTAGTAGAGGAACTGTAGTCAGGTGGCATAGCAATCCCACTTCCATACTATTGCCAGGAAAAGGGGTTTCCACAAAGTCACCAAAGATGACTTTGATTTTTAATATAATATTTTTTTATTTACTGGGTTACATTCATTTTCTAACCTGATACTTGATTTTTTAAATATCTGTCTGTCTGTCTGTCTGTCTGTCTGTCTGTCTGTCTGTCTATCTATCTATCTATCTATCTATCTATCTATCTATCTATCTATCTATCTATCTATCTATCTCCATTTGTATTTACCCCATTATTTCTGCTCTATAATTTTGGCTCCTTTAAGGATTGAAAATGTCTATGCAAATGTGTGATCAGGCATGTGAAAAGTGAAAGTAATTTTTCTCTTCATCTCATTAAGCCTATACTGAAACAGAATTTTGTTTTAATTTTAATTTTTTCTCCTGTTGCTGAATGATCAAATCTGTATTGAAAATGAACTAAAGCGCTTTGGTTTGAGAAACCAAAGTTGAGAAATTTGAGAAGCTGGGGTACTCCCGATGATAATTTCTTAACCACAGTATGAAGTACAGTTTGTTGCATTGAACCCCATTATTACAAGACTTAATGTCGATAGGCAAAGGTTGGCTAACCACAACTCATTATTTCTTGTGTACATCTCTTTGTCTCTCTGCTGTTGGTTTTAGAAGAAGATCTGGAGCATCAAATCAAGGATAAAATTTGATGACTGATGCAGATGGAGAAGCCTGCACACATACAAGTTCTTCTTTGTTGTTTGATTTCCCCCATTGATCCTCCACTTAGAAACTTCTTTAATGAAGTTGGACTGTAGAGGTAATTAATGCTGATCTCTCTGGATTTCTTATGTTTATTGTTCATTCCAAATACTTGTGAAAAACGTGCAGGTTAGAGATATAGCCTCAAAGAGAACAAGTTGATACACTAGAAAACATTCTTTTTCTTGATGCAACAAAAACTCCAGTCGTTATGGGCTTGTGTTGTCATGATTTAAATAAGAAGGTAAGCTTATCCTCTAATATTGCAATGAATATTTTCTTACGTTGGCACCTTTATGGTTAGCTGCAGGTGCCTCTGGTCTGACTTCACATTTTTGCTATAGAAATGCTATTTCTTAAAGCTAGTTCTACCATTAATTATTGCACAGCAGGATCTCAATCAACAGCTGGTGATGTTTTAGGAAACAGTTGTATGCACTGAGGCTCCTTCCTTGTAAGACAGCCTGATATTCTCAAGCATTATGGAGAATGTTGTCCTGTTACTGTTAAATTAAAATTTAGCTATTATTGTACAGTAGCTGGCTTCTGGATGGATAAGAAGAGTGGTGATTCCGTTTTATTCTGTCTGGTGTTCTTATGAAACATTGTAATTAACATTTTTAATATATTTATAAACTATGAGTTACAAATCGGATAACTGTTGCTTCAAACCTTTCTGCAACTATAGTCTGTATGCCAATAACATTCCGGATCTTTTCAATTATGATTCACAAATCTTTATTGTGGAGATGTTATAATACTATAAATGCTACAAATATACAATCAATTGGAATAATCTCATAATTTCCAAATGGTAATAACCCTTGTTTTTAGTTTTTGCTTAGATTCTATTAAAGAATTATTATTGATAATTATTTCTAGGAAAAGTATCCTATTCAGTAGATTCAAATATTTAATAATGCATAGTTCAGATTAATGGGAATATTAATAGGTAGTTGAAAAGCGCTATGAATCTCTGAGGAAGATTAAAAGTAGCAAAAATGAATATTGCCTCAAGACTGATAATACATTAACCAGGATGGTTTTTGTTGATTCTACTGGACAGGTTAGACAAATTGACTTATTGATTTAGTTCCCATTGAATGGTAAATAGGATTTCTATTTCAAACATATGAAAATAGAAACTCCAACTTTCCTGACTGCAAATTATATAATTCAGTGTATTTATTAGCTTCTATAATGCATTCAGATGAAAATGATACCGAATATGTATGGCTCATGGGCCATGTGGAAAGTCAAGCTTTGGAACTGTTGAAATCCTGTATATATATGGTTCCAGCTATGGAGGTAGTCCTCAACATACAAATGTAATGGAGCTGCCCATTATGGTTATATATTGTGACTGTCATAAAACAATTTGGTTATGTGACCAGTCCAATTTTATGGCTTGTTTTCATGGTCATTAAATGCAGTGATCCCCAACCTTTCTTATGCCGCAGCCCGGTATCCCCAACCTTTTTTATGGCGTGGCCCGGTACCGGCATTAGCTGGGCGCCGCCATCTTTTTTTGATGAAAAAGTGCTTCCGGTGAGCTTTTCCGGGTAGAAAGCTCACCGGAAGCACTTTTTCATCAAAAAAAGATGGCGGCGCCCAGCAAACCAGCGGCCCGGTAGGACTTGTTCCACGGACCGGTACCGGTCCGCGGACCGGTGGTTGGGGACCCCTGATTAAATGAATGTTGTTTGTTTGTTTGTTTTTTGCTATGAGCACAGTCTCGCTGAAAACCAGAAGTGCCAGTTTTTCAGCAAAAATGTCATAAAATGTGATCACATGACTGGGTGTCAACCGTCTCATTTGGCACATTCAACAAAAGAAACTCCCGGCTCTCTAGATTAACCAAGAGTGTAGCTTTGTTGAAAAATCCATCTAGGTATGGTAGAAGCAAAATCGATTCTGGGATTTTCCCGCAAAAACCCATGTAGGTATCTCCCCTGTTCTCCTCCAGGCCAGAGCCACCCACAGTTCATAATTCACCAGCTGAGTTCAGTTCTTTGGCTTTGGGAAAAGCTGTCTGCTTCAGTCAAAACATTCTTCATCACTTGGCCTTGTTAGATAATGTCCATCCGGCAACAGACAGTTCACTTGCATTCCATAGCCTCCCTCCACCCTTAGAAATTTACCACTTTCCTTCCATCACTGGAATGGAGGGGAGGTGGGATTTGTTATTATGTGCTTATGGAAAGACACTTATATGCTAGATACAAAAAAAAGTGGATTAGAAAAATTGTCATACCTCAGCCTTTGAAATAATTGTTTTATCACCAAAAAAGAAAACAGTGGATCAGGTGAATCTATGTGGTCAAAGGTTGCTCAAAACTCGAGTATTTTTTATAGACGTAATTATTATACTTTATAGCACTATGGAATAATTCAAATTTTGTTTTTTTTTTAATATTTGTTTTTTATATTTTTTTGTTGGAATTTCTTTTTAGGTAAAAAGTTAAGAGTTATAAGAAAAGCAGTGAAACATTAAAAAAAAAAAAAAAAACTTCCTGCTGGCTCTCAGCCTCAATCTTTCTCTCTGTATTTTATGTGCTTCAGTGAAAGTAAAACTAATTGTAAAACCCTGGGACTTTCTAAAAATGTCACGCATCCCTTGCATGACTTGGACCTTGTGTTTGCAGATGATCAGATGATCACTCTGTTGAGGTTGCAGACTTATGTACTTGTTTCATAAAATTTAATTCTGTTAGAGGGAGATAGCCATGAACTACTTCACGTTATAAAGGAAATCAGAAGGTAGCTGTAACCTTGCAAGTTAACCCCTTTCTTCTTGGCAACTGCAGATGTGACAAGTATATAGGAATATTCCTGTAGAGTTCATCCACAAAGTAGGTTTGAGTAGGGGAGATGCCTCCCCTCTCATGTGGAATTTAATAGGTATACAGATGTATTGTACTCTTCTAATCTAGTAATGTGCCAACTGCCCCTCTTGACGGTTTACAAGACAGTTTTAAGATTGAGGCATTAAACACCGTTTTTAACTGAGTTTTTGATTCAAAAGACAAGCACCATTAATAATGAATAAATCCAGTTTCTCATGTGGCTCATCGAAAAAATGAATTGCCCAATCATGCTGCGGAGTGCAGTCAGAAAAGCCAATACACCAGCCACAAGGGCATTTTATATCCATTGTATATTTTAAAAGAATATTTTTGACTTTTTAAAATCATACCCTGCAGATGCTTCTGGTGGCAACTCTAGGTAAACCTCTTCAGATGATACCAAGCAGCATGGAAGCTCAGCTTAAAAAAAAAAAAGTTATCCCCAGCAGCCTGGATCTAAGGTCATTTAAGTAATAAGCAAAATGGGTGGGTGGCCTAAAAGGGACGAGTCAGCCAGCATTTTAAACAAAGATGTATCAGGCATTTTTTATTCTTCTCAAGATTAACCCAGGTGCCAAGGTTTATACTAACTAAAGCATGGGGTCCTTGGTGATCTCTGAGCTTGGTTGCTTTCTTGTAGACATTTCATTTTTAAACTAGGTAATATCATTAGGGCTAGAAGGGAGTATGGTTTGCTCTTTATTTATCCATCCCTGGGGTGTCAAACTCACGTCGTCACGGCAGCGTCACGTGATGTACTGGGACTTTTCCCCCCTTTGATAAATTGGGCGTGGCCAGCACGTGACAAATCCAGCCTGTGGGCCAGGAGTTTGATAGTCCTGATCTACCCCACTCCCTTTTAGCACTGTTGATGTCACCTAGTTTGGGTAGTGTAACTTCTGCAAGAAAATCACCAAGCTCAGAGAGTGCCAAGGACCCCTCATTTCAACCATGAGCTACAGTAAAAATATTGTCTTCTATCAGTACCAGCTGAAGTTTCTAGTAAAGATACAAAAGCAACCTCCTGTACAAGCATTGTTCCTGGGCTTTTCAACAAGTGCATCAGTTTTCTTTTCATTATCTTCCAGAGGTGGATACATCGGACAAGTCAACCAAAGCCAGTAATAGGTCATCCTAGCCTTGTCTTAAATCTGGTTAACAGAGAGAAAGATTTGGATCCCAAAGAAGTCCCAAAACTCAGTACTTGCTCTTTCTGTAAAGGATGCTCCCACTCAGACTGATAGTGTTACCTTGCTGGAATTAAAGCCCCACACAAGGAATATAATGACCATCTTACCTGCATTTAGTTTCAAGGTATTATTCCCTATGGAGCCTTTTACCGATTTAAATTGGTCCCTAAATAATTTATCACTCCATCAATGGTTTTCTAATTAACAACAGAGATGCCTGCAGGGCAGAAGGTGGGTCGGAAAGAAAGCAGCATTGCTCTGCAATTTTTGTACGCATAACATTACACAAATGCAAGGAAGTGACAGAGCTCGTGGTGCCTGCAAATAACTCTGATTAAGAGGGATTATGCTATTAAAAGAAAACATACTACTTGTATTGCTGGCTTTTCTACTCTTTGATCCAGAAACTTTGAAAGAAAGTAGTGCGTAAACATATAGTTGAGACAGCTGTAATGTTTTTGCTTTGAACTAAAGTTTAGTTTCCAATATAAGATGTGATACAGCTCCCCCTTGTGTTTGCTTATTGTATTCAGATTACAAGTCATTTTTGTCTTAGAAATGATGGAACACTGAATTTTAGTATGGAAATAAAGAACATTATTTATTCAGTCAAACATCTTATTGCTCACCACCTGTTTTTAATAACACATCCAATGTGCAATCGGTAAAGAATGTTCAAAGCTAACTAAAAGATAGCATTATCATTACAATACCTTGAATATTCCCATTTTACGTCTTGAAGCATGATGCTCAACAGGAATATCCAAGACGGCTTTGATTAAATACAGCTTAAAATAAGGAACTATTTTAGGGACTATTTTGTAATTTTGGAGAAGTAGAAGTACAGCTTTGACTCCTCTACTGTAAAATTAAAAAAATAAAATGGTATCTTTAAAGTATTTGATAGTTCCAGATGAATTTTTATTGTTTGTATTTATTTTACTGTATTGTTTTGAGGGTTACAGCAAGTAAAGCCATGTACAGCATGTAGCAACAATAAAGGGGCATTTAGAGGAAGAAAGACACACATTTAGCTTAACAAATAAATACTATAATAAATAAAGCTACTACTTCTAGTAATTTTCTTGATTGTATTTGTGTGTAGCAGGTGTTCCCATTTCTAAAGATACTGAAAGCAATGGAACATTATGCTTTGGAGAAAAAAATAAGACAAGCATTGTCTATTTTTGCACAAGAAAAATGGAAATGGCTGTCAACAAAATTTATAATGTTCTTATTGTTACAAATATTGATGCCCTCTAGAAAATATTATTTAAAAGCATTTTTACTGATCCATACAGAAATGTAATATCCAGAATGTAAAGGGGGAAAACAAATTATTTTCAACATAGCTATTAAAATTTGTGTGTGCCACTTTGACTTTGCAGTAAAAATGCATGTCCATGGGAGAAAATAAGCAAGTGCCAACTCAGAGTACATTCCAAAAAGAAACTGGCTGTATAACTACAGTGAATTATCTCCAGCTGTCATGAGCTGTCATTTCTAATTGCAAGTTTAATATGCATACTCTGCTTACAAACTTCTTTAAGATCATATTTGGTGCTTATATATTGTGGAATATATTCTGTTACGAATGAAGGCAAGTATTTTGTGTTTGCCCTGAGGTTCTACATCTTAAATACAAACAATAGGAAAATCTCAAAAGAAATGGATCCTGCTCATTAGAAATTATCAATTATCTTTTGTTGCATCATCCATAGCATCCCCAGATAAGAGGCACTCTGCTCTACTTCTGTTCTAGTAGTTGAAGCACTGGGCCAGCAACTAGTTTTAATCTTGCCTTAAGCATGAAAGCCAACTAGATGTTTTTGCGGCAGTCATTCTCTCAGCCCTAGGAAGAAGGCAAACCACTTCAATTATTATTATTTTTTGCAAGAAAGTGGCATTGATTTATCCAATGAGTCACTAACAATCAAAATGTACTGGACGGAAGAAAAAAAAGCAAACAAAATATTCATAAAACCTACTCAATTGTTTATTGAAGGTGGTTTGGAAAAATGGAGATGAACTAAATAGGAAAAGCTGCACCAATGCAATCTACTGTGTTTTGAGCTGCTTTTAAAGAAAGTTCAACTCAAAAATCTCTATGGGCAGCAATAAAATATGCATAAGAGACTCATGTTTCCAGCATAATGGCTAGAGCAGAAAATCATAAAGCTCCTTTGAAAAAAAAAAAGAATTGTTAAAAGTTATTTATTAATACTGTACATCTGTTTATTATCTTTAAGCAAAGGCTTCTGATAGTATTATGTATGAATTGAGATTTCTGCTTGGGAAAAAAACCTGAAATACAGATGGTTGTTACTTCTCAAAGAGACAATATGTTCCCTCAAGCTATTTCAAACATAGTTGAATGCTTACTGAACTAACAAGTACAATCATAATAGAGTCTTTTTAATTTTATATTTAATCATGAAAGCAGAATAATTAAGGGAATGAAAACTAGTTTTCTATTTAGAATAGTAAGTTCAGATTTGAATAAGTCTTTCAGTACAGATACAAGTCCAGTATTTGCAAATACAGCATTTCTGATTTACACTGGAAAAATCAATGCATGGTTAGAGTGATATTTTTTTTTTGCAATCACAACTTTTATTGTGTTGCTTTTAAATACAGTCAGGTTTCAAGCACAATTATAGTGAACAACTGCCAGTGTTTCAACTTGAACTTTCGGTTGTGCTATTTTGGAGTTAAAATTAAAAATATAACAGCCCTATTTTGCTTATCCTTTATATTCCTGTAAGCTGAGTCTTCCTTATTAAGCACTTTCACTTTTGCAATGGAAGTGTAAATAGCTAAGTGCAAATGGGTAGTTTCATCTCTTTAAGCTTCTATGTGCAAAATTCTTTGTGTGTTTTTTAAACTTGTTTTCCAGAGACAATTATGTAAGGAACAGGGAGGGAGACAACTGCTTTTGATATAATTTATCATCTCTATAATTCAAGAACTCTCTGGGATTTTTGTTTATCACACACAATTTTAGAAATCTGTTTCCATAGCATTTTTTGCATTAGTAATCGTATGCTTTTAAACCAACACACACACTCTATTTATTTACATTTATTTATTTGCTGTGAGTTACATTAGCAGTCTTATCTAAATATATAAAAGCCAAATACCACTCACTCATCATGAAATCTCCAGAACAGGAAAGTCTACAAACTTGAAATTTGGCACGTATGTGCCTCTTGGCTTCTAGGTGCTTGCTAAAAAAAGATTTTTCGAAATGACCATCAGATCATTAGTATTTCTTATACAATATAATTAACATGCCCTGATGCTAAGGAGTTAAACATTCTATTCCCGCTTCCCACCTGACAAGAACTGTTACATATTTATGGAAATTTGTGATCAAGAAAAAGTCACATAGATGGATATCCATAGCACAGATGGATAGTTGCTTTCACAAAGGAGTTCTATCACTAGCATAGCATAGCATATGTCAAGGGTCTTCAAACTTGGCAAGTGTAAGACTTGTGGACTTCAACTCCCAGAATTCCTGAGGAGGAATTCTGGGAGTTGAAGTCCACAAGTCTTACACTTGCCAAGTTTGAAGACCCCTGGCATATGATGATCACGGAGAGATAGGGAGGGAAACTTAAATTTCAAGACACACCTGCCTTTGGGATAGGGGATTATTTGTTTATCCAATGGCACATTCACATCACATTTCTCTAAAAAACACAAGGGGTAATACAACATACAACATATAAAATATGATAGGGAAGCTCCAATGAAATACAGGTAGTCCTCGACTTACAACAGTTCATTTAGTGACCGTTCAGTTACAATACTGAAAAAAGTGACTTACGACCAGTTTTTCACACTTATGACTATTGCAGCATCCCCAGGGTCACATGATTTCCAATTGGATGTTTAACAACTGATTCACATTTATGCCGGTTGCAGTGTCCCGGGATCACGTCCTGCAACCTTCTGACAAGCAAAGGCAATGGAGAAACCAGATTCACTTAACGACCGTGTCACTAACTTAACAACCGCAGTGATTCATTTAACAAAAGTGGCAAGAAAAATCATAAAACGGGCAAGACTCGCTGAACAACATAAATTTTCACTTAACAACATAAATTTGGGGCTCCATTGTGGTTATAAGTTGAGGACTCCCTGCACAGTACATGTACATTTTGGACTGACGGCTTCAAAACGATCTTTTGCCGATAAAAACACAAGTGCGCGGCCTTGCCCATCAGCGGGGAGAAAGAGAGCCGAGTCTGCATCCCACGAAAGCCAAAAGCAAAACCGCTTCCTCCCCGCCCCCGATTTCGCCGACCGCTCCAGCGATCGCTAACCAGCCCGCAAAATGGAGAAGTCCTCCCCTGCACAGGAAATGTGAGGGAGGGGGAGGGGGCAGGATTTCTTCTCCTCCGTTCTAGCCTTTCTCGGTGGTTCTTCGGCAGATCTTAAAACGTCACCTCCGGTTGGGTTTTTTTTTTTTCCCCCAAGGGCCCTGGAGCCAATCGCGGCGTCCTCTGGCCCGAATTCTCCGCCCCTTTTCCCCCAACCAGTCCTGAGTTGCCGTCCTGAGGCAAATAGGGCTCGCTCCCTCCTTCGGGTCCTATGCGTCTCTCGCTCGCTCTTTCTCTTTCTTCACCCCCCGCCCCACCTTTCAGTCCACCGCCAGACGCCGACGTAGCAGAAAGAAAAAGAGATGGCGGCAGCGGCGGCCGAGGCAAAGGAAGCCGCGGCGGGAAGAGCGCGAGGCACCCGCAAGGTGAAGGCGACGTCGAGAGGGCGCCGGCTCGAGCTGTAACCGTCCTTTCCCCTTAGGACGACCCCCCCCCTCCTACTCCCCTGTCCCGTTGCTTCAACCCGCCAGAAAGGCAGCTCCGACTCCCTCCCTCTTCCGAGCGCCTCTCAGCCTGGCCAGGGGCGACGCCGACCTCCGACTGGAGTTTCCGTCCCTTCGCTATTATGCTGGTATCTCTCGGGAGCGCCGAAAGCGTCCCGGCCGCCCGAGACAGATGCTGAAAACCCTTCAGGCTCCGGCCGCCGTTTCTGCCTGCTAGGACGGCGCCTGGTCAGGACGCCGGCTTGGCTCTCCGGCCATGTATTTCCTCAGCGGCTGGCCCAAGAGGCTGCTCTACCCTATAGAGGCTCAGGAGCCCCCGCTCGGGATCCAGGCCGACCCGCAACGGACTTTGTTCGCCGTGTTGTCCCCGTCCCAGCTCAGCATCTGGTACAACAGGGTGAGTAAAGCCGCCTCACGCCGTTGTCACCCTATAATCACCCTGCCTATAATCATCCTCCCGAAGCTCTCTTCTGTTTTTTTTCCCCCATACCTGACTTTGGCCAGCTTTTCTTCCCCCTCTCGTTTTTGAATAGTGAGAGAGAATTGGGTGTGTGGGTGTGTATACACACATATATATGTGTGTATGTATGTATGTATGTATGTATTTTTGTGTGTGTGTATGTACACACCCACACCCACACTTACACATACATACACATACCCATATATCTATCTATCTATCTATCTAATCTCCCCCCCCCCCCTTTTAATCTGTCTGTCTGTCTATATCCCTCATTGGGATGTGGTGCTGAATTGGGAAATACTTTGAAAACATGGATCAAAAAAAAACTTTGGATTTGATTTGTGGTATAGCTAAGGTTGAATGTTATCCTTTTGAATGTGGGTTCTTTGCCTCTTAAATCTTCAGATGGACAGCATAGTTTGTATGTATTTTTAGTTACTTAATAGACTCTAGATGTGTCAGAAAGTTGAGTGCAAAGGGGTGCTTACTTAAAAAGAAAGGGCTTGTTTTGCAGATTGGCTCTGTTGTATCATCCTCAGAATTATTTTTTTCTTTTCTTTTGAACTTTACTGGTATTTCTTAATCTCAATTCCAGACCTGCCTTCAGGTACATACAGGTAGTCCTTGATTTAAATTTGCTAAGGAGACATTTGTTCAGTTAGCTGTGCCCCATTTTATGACTTTTCTTGTCACAGTTGTTAAATGAATCACTGCAGCTAAGTTAATAACATGATTGTTAAGTGAATCTAGCTTCTCTGTTTGACTTTGCTTGTCAGAGACCACAAAGCGTAATCACATGGAACACTGCAACTATCATAAATACATGCCAGTTTCCAAGCATCTAAATTTTGATGACATGACCAAGGGGATGCTACAGAAAAATGGTTTTAAGTCATTTTTTTTCAGCACTGTTGTAACTTTGAATGGTCACTAAGTCAATGGTTGTAAGTTGAGGACTACCTGTGGTTGTTGTGGCTTGGGCATCGGGAAAAATATAATTCCAAGAAGCTGTTCACCACTTTTAAAAGGAGTAGTAGAACTGCATTCTCAATATTTTCCTAACATACCTACATTTTAGGCATATTCCCCTTGAATATCCATTTTGTATGCATGTGACAGTTATGAAAGGCATTCAAGTTTGCATCTGAAATTTTCATAAATTTGAGTTCATTTTATACATTTGTTATTCTGTTGGATATCAGATTCCATGGAAGGAGTAGGATGTGCTGTTTATGTAAATTATATAGAGATGTATTTAGAAAGAACCCTAACAGTAATGATGAAGGTAATTCGGTGGGTTTAAATTTTGTGTAAGAGTAAAATATTTTTCAATAACAACTTAGTAATCACATTTCTCACACAGTATAGTGCTGTATACTCAATTACTATATATACCATATGGTGCCCATTCCTTAACAAATATTTCTGTAACTGAATTTTTTAAATATCTTGTAATGTCCCATCAATCTCTTGGTCTAAATTTAGCATCGACACTTTGATTTTATAAAGTCCAGAATAAAGTTGAATTTTAGTTGTTCCATATGCCTTAGCTTCTAATTCAGTTGATATCTATGATTCAACATTGCGTTGCAACGGCAGTCTTTTAGTTCCACTAGTAATATCTTTGTGAGCATTGGTTTCAAAACAGTCAGGTTAGTATAAGTCTACAATTCCCTGCAAAGTTGTTATCATTCAAAATAGTAATCTTAGTATTACTACTAAATAGTAATACTAATAGTAATACTACTGCATATGGTTGCATTAGAGCAGAGGTCTCCAAACTTGGCAACTTTAAGACTTGTGGACTTCAACTCCCAGAATTCTTCAGCCAGCTGGCTAAGGAATTCTGGGAGTTGAAGTCCACAAGTCTTAAAATTGCCAAGTTTGGGGACTCCTGCATTAATTAGAGTGTCATCTAACTGGGACAAAGCAGTGTGTTTTTAGATGAGATCTGATGTTCTATAGAAAACATAATACTAGAAGGAAATTAAGAAAACAGTGATTAAAATTAAAATGATTGGATAACCTCTTAGGATTTCTTAATTTACAAAAAAAGGTAGAGGTGGAATAATAAAAAGTGAATATGAAAAAAGAATATCAGGTATAAGACTAGAACTGAACATTAGTGAATCAAATGCAATGGAAAATATAGGATGAAAAGGAAAATACATAATTGCAGTTCACTTTATCAACGCATATTAATCATCTATATGGTGTTAAAACAATTTTGAATGCAGTTCTACATATACTTACACAAGAATAAACTCTGGGCTAAATAACAGAATATCAATTTCTAAATGAAAAAGGATAGAATTATGCCATTGGATGGCTGTTGTAAAAGAATATAATGTATTTTTTTTTATAATTTATAATTTATCTTTCCTTTTTCTGGTGAGGAGGGCAAATTTATAATCCATTGGAAACATGTACATATAAGCACCTTTGATGATGTAATACGATTGTTCTTATATTTTTTTTAGAGTTTTAAAATAAAGTTTATTTAAGTTTCATATATTTTTTTCTATTTTTGAGTCTATCATACCCAGCAAGAAGGTTTCGGGTTCAAATTTTACTTCTTGTTTAGTTATATTTAGAATCCAATTTCTGATATTTTTCCAAAACTTCTGCGCATATGGACATGTCCACCACATATGGAAGTATGTTCCCTGGGCGCAGTTACACTTCCAGCAGTTTGGGGGGAGGTTCGGGAACATCTTAGCCAGTCTTGCAGGTGGCAAGTGCCAATGATACACCATTTTATAGAGATTCTCTTTGTACGAGGCTGACATAGTTAGTTTGTAATTTATTTCCCAAATATATTCCCACTTGTCTAATTCAATACTGTGGCCCACATTTTTTGCCCAAATTATCATACACTCCTTAACTGTTTCTTCTTTTAATTTATAATCCAATAGAAATTTATATATTTTACTAATCAGCTTCCTTTCCTCTCCATGCCAAATTTTATCTAATTCTTGGTAGGTCATGTTAAAACCGAATTGTTCTTTATCTTTTTTGTAATACGATTGTATCTGCGCATAGGGGTACCATGCTATCTCTTTTCCTTGAATTTGTATTTGATTCCTACCCTTTAACTCTCCGGTTTGATGTAATAGATCTTTATATCTTACAATATTATCAAAATCTAAAACATTTGGATGTGTAACTGCCTCCATTGTAGAACACCACAGTGGGATCTTAAAGTAATGTACTTTTTTATCTTTTCCCAAATATTTAGTAACACATTCCTTATATAATGCCTTTGAAAGTACAAGTGGTGTTTACTCTTTCCATCCCACATAAATGCGTGCCATCCAAGTTGGAGATCAAAGCCCTCTAATGTTAAGATCCTTTTATTTATCAAATTAACCCAGTCTTTAAGCCAGGTTGCTATCGCAGCGTAGTAGTATGTTTCAAAATCTGGAAAACCAAAGCCTCCTTTTTTTCTATCATCCTGCAATAATTTATATTTTATTCTGGGTTTTTTCCCTTGCCATATAAATTTGGATATATGTTTATTTAGTTCTTCAAAAAAGCTTTTTTCCAACTTGATTGGCACCGTCTGAAATAAGAACAATTTTGGCAAAATATTCATTTTTACTATTGCAATATGGCCTAATTTGTAATTTAGCCCAATTATCTAAGTCTTTAAATATTTGGATTGTTAATTTATCATAATTATCTTTTTTAATTGATGAGCACCTAGCTGTCAGCCATACCCCCAAATATTTTACTTTATTTACCACCTGTATCTCTAATCTCTTTGTTAGTTCTTCCTTTTGTCTTGATAACATATTCTTTGTCAAAATCTTTGTTTTGTCTTTATTTATTTTCAAACCAGCCACCTTCCCATATACCTCTATCTTTTCTATCAATTTTAATGCTGTTTCTGGTGGGTCTTCTAAGATGAAAACCAGATCATCTGCAAATGCTTGCAGTTTAAATTCTTCTTTTTTAATTTTCATCCCTTTTATGTCCTTTTCTTCTCTAATATTTCTGTTTAGCACTTCCAAGGTTAACCCAAACAACAAAAGTGACAGTGGATATCCTTGTCTTGTTCCTTTTCTTATATCAATAGAATCTGTTAATTCTCCCTCTATCATTACCGGGAAACAACCTTTATATCTAAGTGCATTATAAACTCTGTGATTTTCAGAAATCCAGTGTGAGCTTGAATTTTTTAAATTGACACATAAGAGAATTGGTTGACATATAACATATGATTATATAGGCAGTTTGTTCATATGGTTATTATAGTGCTCTGCTATCACTCTGTTATTTCCTGCCATTGACAGTGCATATTTAATTAGCTGTACTGTGTACAACACATGGTACCAAAAATAAGGAATATTTGTTCTGAAAAATTCCCTTGCAAGCAAATTGTGATAGTTTTGTGTAGCAAATGGAGACAAGGCTCACACTGTGTCATCCTTACTTTTACAACTGTCTGAAAGTCCTTTAACTCACTGAGTTGAGATGATACGCAACATTTAGAATCAGCAGGATAACCTTCAGAATCCAGTAAACGAGCTAAAAATAAGTAAAATAGGGTTGCTTCTAAATATACTGAAACCAAATTGTTAATTGCAGTACTTACCTCATTTTTTCTGATAGATGACTACACTTAAATATTTTCATATTTTGAGTTGTCAATTAAAGAATTTGTTTTAAAACTGAAGTACTTTTGGCATATCTTTCAGCAAGGTCAGAAGACTGAAATTTTAATCATGCTTAAGTGCTATGTGCATTTTCTTTCAAATGTTTAAGCTCTTGTGTAAATTATGGAAAAATGAAATGCACTTGAAATGATAATGCATAAGGAAAACTAAAATTTCTATGTATGATTTTGAAAAAAAAGTCTTCTTTGATATCAGGACAAAGCAAATGAATAAATCAAGATTGTCTGAAGGAACTGAAATAATTCTGAAAAGATGAAGGTAGCAATATTGACTTGAGTTAAGAATTTGTTCATTGTAAATGCAGGATGAGATAAAATAAATTATACATACCTGTGTTTCCCTGAAAGTAAGACTGGGTGTTGAGATAATTCCCTGTTAGGAGAATGAGCACATACAGGGAGACGTAGTGAGAGAAGTGAAGAATAACACACACACAGGCACACAGATACACTGTACAGTAAATGTAGGTTTTTACTGCCAATAAACGTTTAAGCACAGTCCAAGATAAGCAGTCCAAGTCATTCACAGGTAAAGCAATCAGTGTTCAGTTCAGGGATAATCCAAATATCAAAGTCCAGTATCAAAAAACAGTTCAGTAACAGACTTACATCCACGATCAGTAACAGTCATTTAGGAGGAACGGCAACTCTCTCCAACAGAAGGAAACAGAGACTCACTGAGACTAAGATAACCCAGGTTTCTGGCTCCATCTTATGGCCATTTGAGAAACCACACCCAATTACAGTTTTAGCATGCTCTTAAAGATACAGTATTAAAATGTCTATCCTGGTTCATATATTTCCAACCCAAATAACTCTTAGGTGACTTACATTCCTAACACTGGGTCTTATTTTCTTTTGGGTCCCCCAAAAAGCACCAGGACTTATTTTCGGGGAGTGTCTTATTTCCCCTCCCCCATGTACAGGACACCTACTTTTTCTGCTTGCTTGGCGGGGGGGGGGGGCGTGAAGCTGCTCCACACATGCGACTCCAGCAACTCCATCCAGCAAGACCCCACGTGACTGTTGGCCCACTTCTTCTGCTTTCTCATTGCCACAATGGAGCAGGAGGCTGAGCAAGGCCACAAGGGGAAGTGGGGGGTGGGTGGAGCTACCCCATGCACCCTGAACCATCTTATCTCAGGGCCCCCGCAACGAGGCCATCCACACCCTGACACCTGCTTCACCTCAGCCATGGCACCAGCACGCACTCAGCCTCCTACTCCACTGCGGCCGTGAGCAAGCAGAAGTGGGCTGGTAGCGACGTGGGCTCCTACTATACATGGCTGCTGCCATGAGGCAAGTGTTGGGTCATGGATGGTCTGGCTATGGGGGCCCTGAGGTAAGCCAGTGCAGTGCACATGGGGCAACTCCACCACCACTCCACCTTGCCTCGTGGCCGCGGCATCTTGAGCAACCAGATGGAATGGGCAGGCAGGTGGCTGCGCAGGCTCTTAAGTAGGCTTATTTGGGGGTTAGAGCTTATATTTGGCACATATGTAAAACATGCTAGGGCTTATTTTTAGGATAGGTCTTATTTTGGGGGAAGTAGGTTATGTAAAATTGTTTTGGAAGATTAGAGGGTTTTAATGTTTGAATTCAAGTTAGAATTTTAGTATAATTTCCAATTGAAGGAGAAAAGAGTAAAACGAAGTACAAGTATTTCTGATTGGGGGGAAATTATTAAAGACAGTAAACTCTGCTCTTCTTAAGTGTTGCAGCTGTCTTTTCCCATTATGCTGCTTTCCTCAGCAGCTTATTTTCTGCAACAAGTTGCCATTAGTTACTGCCAAATGTTATAGGCAAGGTTGTGCTTTAACTCTGTAACAGCCTTTCCCAAGTGGTGCCTTCCAGGTGTTTTGGATTATACCAACCATTGTTCTTGCCTGCAGACCTTAAATGGCAATGGAAGTAGAGGGAATGGAAATTGTAATAACTGGAGGGGCACCAAATTGAAAGAGTTTGAAGTAATATTATTGCAACAGCATGTGCCAAAATACCAGTATCTTAATATTCCATATCTTCATTTTAAGATATGACCTTTCATCTGAATTTCTATCATTATTGAAATGTATTTGAAGCATCAAGATAAGGAGGTTACTGCATTTATGATGTGCTAATATAGTAGTTTGGGGTTGCTTTGGACTTGACAGAGTTTAAAAACTAATTTTTTTCACATTGTTAAATTTCATGGGTTACAATAAGAATGTAAATTTATTATTATTTATTCTATTTATGGCTGAAATCCAATAGACTCTGGGCAGTGTATACAAATATAAAATAAAACATAACCATGGCTAAAAACATTGAATCAGATGGATAGCTCCAATTAAAATGATGTAAGGTAAATGAAAAGGTTCCTTTCGCACATACGTGCTATCGTTTCCGGCTCTAGGGGATGGTGCTCATCTCCATTACAAAGCCAAAGAGCCAGCGCTGTCCGAAGACGTCTCCGTGGTCATGTGGCCAGCATGACTAAACACCTAAGGCGCATGGAACACTGTTACCTTCCCACCACATTGGTCCCCATTTTTCTACTTGCATTTTTTACATGCTTTTGAACTGCTAGGTTAGCAGAAGCTGGGACAAGGAATGGGAGCTCACTCTCTTATGCGGTGCTAGGGATTCAAACCGCTGAACTGTTGACCTTTCTGATCAACAAGCTCAGTGTCTTAGCCACTGCGTAAACAGCAAAATCTACAAAATAGGGGCCTTAGACAAATAATTAACATCGTCCCCAGATCTGCAACTAAAGCCAGGTTTTCAAGCTTTCCAGACTCCTATGAGAAAAAGAGGCCACCCTTATCTCTGAGGGAATGCTGTTTTAGAGGGTGGGACCAAAAGGCATGCTTCCTAGGTCCCACAAGGTGATGTTTAATGGAGGGGAGCTGGAGCACACTCATTTTGCTGGAACATACTAGTCAGGTACAGACAATTGGAGATAAGCAGTTTTTCAGATATCCATTTAAAAGATTAAACATGCAGATATTATTCAGGTTACTTATTTGAATATACTAGAAACCAAGCATTACAATAAAATTAATAAGTAGTTGGATAATGATCATAGCTTTTCTATCTATTGATTGTAGAATCTGTGATGGAAATGTATAACACTGCACATGTAACATTCTATTAGCCTTTGTTTAGAAAAATAGCATTGAAAAACCATAAATCTGTCCAGATGTATCTAAAAACAGTGCAATAATTTGAAAAGTAAATATTCAAAAAATTATTGTTTTGTAATAAAAGCAAATTCTTGAATGATACTCTATTTTTATTTAGATATTCATAAATGAAAAAAAAAAAAACAGGGGTGGGATCTGACCGGTGTAACTACTGGTTTGGTGATTTACGTTTTGCGGGGTGGGATTCTACCGGTTCTGTGTCTGCTGCTCTTCAGAGCTACCGGTTCTACAGAGCCAGACAGAACTGGTAAATTCCACCCCTGGAAAAAAAAACTATAGTTTTGGCATACATACTATCTTTGTTTTATAATCTTTTAATATACTTGTTATTGATACTCTAGGGAATTTATAAATTAGCATCTTGGTGAATCATCAGCTTACTTCCCAATGTTTCTAATATAGATCTGAAACTTTGTGCTGCAAATGATGGAAATCAAACATCATTATAAAACAAATTTCTGAACAAATGCTCAGTCATTTGTTAAAATAAACATTTCTGAGCAAGGGAGAATGTTCTGATCTTTCCAAGCCTGAGAATTGTGATGCAACATTAGCTTTTATTAATACATTTCTCACTTTGGAATAATTATTCTATCTAAATTGAATCATTTTGAATGATAGCTGTATATCTTGAATAAATGTTTAAAACTGGTAATAATGCATGAGCCATATTTTTTAAGCAGAACATTTTAAGGCATCATACTTAATTTGTTATTTGCCAAGTAAGTAAGATTATATTGTGGTTTTGAAATAAGGAAGTCTTTGATTTTCCTAGCCACAATTCTTAATTAGTTTGCTAGGAGGGAGCTTCTTAAACATGTTAATAAATGTATTCGGTATTATGCATTGAATTTAGGTATAAAACAACAACTCAGAAAATATAAACAATTATTTTTATAGTTGTACTGTAGTCTTCTTTAAAAAGAATTAGGTAGGTGTGCTATCACTTAAAGTGTTTAAAGCTATTTGAAGGAGTCAAATTTATGAATAATAACTAGTAGATTTAACCTTTAAAAAAGATAACATTGTATACTATCTCTCTTCTTATCCCAGCCCAGTGTGCTAATTGTAAGCTACAAAGAAACACTAAAAGCTGTGTTGCAATTTGGACATTATGACCAAACTGAATGGAAGCCTGACAGTACCACAATAGCTGTTTCGGTAAGTAAAGAAACTTGTATAAAGTTATTTTATGTTTCTAATAGAGAGATGTTTCACATAATGGTTTATTGAAACAGATAGAAAATTAATTTAAAACTAAATTTAAAATGTAGATTGAATTGATATCTATATTTTTCATATCTATATTTTTGTTTAGAGCAACCATGATCTGAGAGTCAGGTGCCATCTCTTTAAGCTAGGGATGTTCCACAAGGCTATAACAGAATCCTTTGGGCACTCTTTTTTGTCTTTCCTCCAAATACATAAAGATACATAAAGATTCAGTATCCTATGATTCAGCAATAACTTGTCTGAATACGTCTGAATTTGGGTTTGCATTATGTTTTGTAAAACTATTCTTCATAAAGACATACATTCTGAATTTTTAGTATCTCATTCAAATGTATATTCACATCTTTAAATAGTATTAATCTTTGTAATATATTAAACACAAACACAGCCTCTTAGAGGTGAAACATGCTTACTTCATTTTCTGCTAAGATTTGAAACTCTTCATTTTAATTGTTTGATATATTCCTTAATTTGTCACCGCAGTCTTGAGGTTCTCTGAATGATGCACAGGGAGATTATGAAACCACAGTTACTGCCCTTGTTTACTTGCTTGATCGGCTAATTTTCTTCAGAATGATAGTTGGCCATTAGCTATTTTTTTTACATTCCAAAGCACTATTTTAAGGCAGTTTTTGTATATATTTGTGTCAAAGTTGTGAAAATATTTGATTTTTTTTAAAAGAACGGCTTTATAATTTGATATGGTTGTTATTCAAGAAATCTAATAAAGTAGATTTTTGTAATCCAGCAAACCATAGTTATTACCCATTATCTTTCCATGTATCATAATGTTCAGTCTATAAAATATAACCATATTGATAAACTAATTTATTTTGAAAAACTAATTTATTTGGAAAAACCTTATACTTGAATGTGAATTTAAATGTGAATTTAAATTTGGTATCCTATACTTTATTATATGTTTTCAATTAATAATTAAAGAAAATAATATTCTTTATCTTCAAGCTTTAAATTATTAAAAGTGCCAAATCCTGACTGTTGTTTTATTATGTTGCTAGTAATCTCTTGCTGTCAATTTTTCAAAATCTCAATAGATTCTCCTTAGAGCTGCTCGGAGCATCCAGAAGTGGGTGGTGCTTCAGTCTCTGCATTCATAGGCTGAGCTTGATTTTGAGGAACGCTCCTCCTTCCACGTGTCTCCTCCATAGCGTTCCCCAGTTTTTGCTCAGCCTCGTGCGAGACAGGCAGTGCATAGACTAGCTCCTTGGCCAATTCAGGATTTGTTGTCTTCAATCGCAATTTCTTCTGATTTCAGGTTTGATTTGTTTTCTCTCTCATTTAGCCCTGCGCAAGTGGTCTGTTTGTTTGCCATTCACCCTAGGGAAGCGTTTTTTGCGCCCCCACAGGTGGCAAGGGGGTGACCCATTAGTGCCTTTGCACTACCCCCCTTCCCAAAACCTTACCCTGCCTTCTTTGTGTGCTGCTTTGCCTTCCTTTTGCAATTTGCAGTTTATTTTCAGTTTGGATTGCTTCGTTTTTAGTTTATTCCCCCCTGAGAACACTGTTTCAGCAGGGAAGGGCTAATCCCCCCCCTTCCCTGCCTCTCTCTCTCCAATTAAGAGCCTTGGCTAGCTCTTGGAGGAGAAATCCGCACTGAGCTATCTGCGGAGCCCTCGCATAGTTGCAGCCGCCATTTTGAAAGCCTCCTCGTGGCCACCGCCATTTTGTTTGCAGTTTTCCTTGCTGTGTGTGCTCTCTGCTCCACGTTACAGGACCCCTAGGCCTGTTTCTGAGCGATTTCACCTCTGCCCTTGCATTTGCAATTGAGGTTCTGACTATTAATTCTGGTTTAAATTGTTGGCTTCACCACAGCTCACTGTTAGCTGCGAAGTTGCAGCAGCAACCCCCGCCCAGTGTTGCCTGGGAAGGAAGGTTGCTAAAGGCCCTAGTTTTTCTCTGCCTTTCTGGGCCTCAGGCGTTCTCCTTTCGGCTGATTGGATTCGTTGTTTTTTTGGCTAATTGGTTACCTTTATACAAATATAATAAAAATAAATAAATTTAAAAAAATAAAAATTAAAATAAAATAAAATAAAATAATAAAATAAAATAAATAAATAAAAATAAAAAATAAAAAATAAAATAAAATAATAAAATAAAATAAAATAATAAAATAAAATAAAATAAATAAAATAAAATATAATAAAATAAAATAAAATAAAATAAAATAATAAAATGAATAAAATAAAATAAAATAAAATAAAATAAAATAATAAAATAAATAAAATAAAATAAAATAAAATAAAATACGAACGGGGGTGAAATATTATCAGGGCTCCCAGTCTTGCTATAGATTGGCCCCTGGGCGCGCCAACCGCCTTCAATCCGACTCATACCACATTCTGCAGTACTAGTATTCTCACAGAAATGGCAGAGGGTAATACTTCTAGAGGACCTTCTCTGAAGGCTAAATCTAAGACCCATCACTTGCGCAGACAGGCTAAGGAGACCTCCAAAGCCTCCCAGAGGGATGCCCTGAGGAGCCATAGGGCCCTGGAGAAGGAGATTAGCAGACGCTCCAAAGAGGCCCCTGCTACAGTCCTCCCACCCTCCACTCCCTCTACATCTGCTCCCCCTCCCCTCCAGTTTTTTCCTCACCATCCAGGCGCAGCTTGCCCTCTCAGGGTCATCAGGTGCAGATTACTGGAACTCCGGCTAGAAGGGCTCCTGAAGGGCTCACGCCTACTGCTGCTGGCCTATGCCAAGAGGAATTGCTCATAGAGGAAGTCCCAGAGAAATTACGATCCTGGATGGAGCTGGCTATCCGCCAAGGCATTGCGGCTGGACTCCAGCAAATGGCCAGCCCTGGGCACTACATGGCAGCCTCGGATCACGAGTCTCAATCCGTAAGATCCATTCCCAGATCGGAACCGCTCCATGGACAGGTATCCCTGCAGGGGGAGGTTCCCCCTACAGTAAGGGAGGAGGAGGAGGAGGAGGAGGAAGGGGACCTAGATCTAATCAGGGAAGAAGAGGAGTTTGACTTGAGGTCTTTGCAATACAGCGAACCCCTCTCTGAGGTAGACCCATTAGAAGGGAAGATGTCTGAGGACGAGGGTCTCACCCCCAACCAACCCGCCTTTGTGGGGCTATTCAAGCCACAATTATTCAAGTCCCTCCTTTTCAAGGCCAAGAATATTCCGGGCCTAAACACTCAGTCACCATCTGATCCCACTCCTCTTGCTCCAGAAGGTCCAGAGGACTCCATTTTTAAGCAGCCCATAGTGGAGGCCGAAATCACCCCAACTCCTCCCATTTTCTCTGACCTGATGGTTAAACAGTTGGCCTCTACAGTGGCGCCCCCTGCCACGTCGGCCCATGAAAAAATTTTTTTTAAAAAATATGGACCCAGAATTTTCCAATTTATTGGGTACCCCTGAGGTTGATGAGCCCATCGTGGGTCTAGCCTCTTCCTCCACCCTTAGTGATGCACTGGAGGCCCTGAGGCCGGAGGACAAGCGGGCCGAGCTGGCCTTGCGCCGAGCACACCAGTCGGATGCCTGGGCAATCAGATCAGCCACTGCCGCCTCTTTCTTCACCCGTTCATCCATTCGCTGGCTCCTCCAGCTTAAACAACACGTTCCAGCGTCCAATGTCAGAGCGCATCAGGACATAGCCAAGATCACGGCCGCAGCTGAGTTCTCGGCCGATGCCACCTATCACACTGTTAAATTCTCCACCAGAGCGATCTCATCACACATCACAGCCCGCCGACTGCTCTGGCTGAAACATTGGCAGGCAGATCTTAAGAATAAGGTCAAATTGGCTTCCGCTCCCATCGTGGGAAATAAATTGTTTGGACCGTCTTTGGACCCCCTATTAGTGGAGGGTCGCAACAAGAAAAAATTTCTTCCCTCCCTCACCCGGAGGTCAGAACCTAGAACCTCGTAGCCCTTTCGTAGAGCTCCCTTTCGGCCCTTTTACCAGCCCCCCTTCTCCCCTAGATTTCAAAGGCCCCCTCCCTTCAGGCCGGGTCAACCCCCAGACGGCCGATTCATCTGACAGAAACAGAAGGGGCAGCAGCTACAAGAGGCCCTTTCGGGGATCAGGTAGCCGGCCCTTCCGGCGCTCCAGATAGGCCATACGACTCCATTCCCATTGGCGGGCATCTTAAAGCCTTCGCCAACCAGTGGGACTCCTCTACTTCCGACGCCTGGGTCAGGGACACCATCAGGTTTGGCCTGGCCCTCGAGTTCCAGTCCACCCCCCCGATTTCTTTATGCCATGTCCTCTCTCCAAGGACCGCACTAAGCGTAACCTCATGGATTCAGCTATCCAACACCTAATTGACATAGAGGCCATCCAACCGGTTCCTCAGGCACAACGAGGGCGGGGTTTCTACTCCCATTTGTTCGTAGTCCCAAAGCACTCGGTGGGATGGAGAGCGATACTGGACTTAAAGCGGCTTAACCGCTATCTGGTATACTGTAAGTTCAAGATGCACACATTGCAATCTATCGGGAACTAGACAAGGGGACTGGTTGTCATCCATAGACCTCACAGAGGCATATCTACACATCGCCATCCGGCCTTCCCATCACAAATTTCTTCGCTTTTGCTATAATAACCACCACTTCCAACGTGGCTCTTCCATTTGGTTTAGCCTCCGCCCCTAGAACCTTTACCAAGGTTCTAGCTGCACTGGCGGCCCACCTCAGGACCCTCCCGGTGCGTCTTCACTGTTACTTGGATGACATCCTCATCCTATCCTACTCTAAATATCAAGCTGTGAGGGACACCCAGGTTACCCTAGCCTTTCTCCAGGAGCATGGGTTTCTTATCAATTGGAAGAAGAGCCAATTATCCCCTTCCACCAGAATAACCCATCTGGGGACGGTGATTGACACCCTGAAAGGGAAGGTGTTCCTATCTTCGGATAGGCTTCTCAGTATCCAGAAATCCGTTAGAAC